TCTCTCCAAAGAAGAGGAAGGGGCTTGGGATGCACAAAAATATACAAAAATCACAGTCCCCCGAGCCAGGTCCAGAAGAGGAAACTACTCCAGCACTGGCAGAGGATGGAGACAGGTGCTTCTTTCCCCAGCACACTTCCTAGGAACCGTAACTAGAATATTCACAGAGGTCCTGGGAAAAGTCAGCTTTCTCTCTCTCTCCAAAGAAGAGGAAGGGGCTTGGGATGCAGCCCTGCTCCTACCCCAGGGGCAGGGGACTCTCAGGACTCATCACATAAATCATAACATCAAGGATTCATGGTCATAACCCTGGGGTGGACCTAGAAAGGAGCCACCCTGGGTCTAGAGGAGCCCAGCTCTGGTACAGTAGTGAGAAGCTGAGGGTAGGAAGAGAACAACTCTGATTCAATTTCACGGTTAAAGTGGGCAGGAAGGAGTCAGTGAGATCACGGGGGGTGGGGGGCTGGCCAAGCCTGGTAGGGTGCTGGTGCTGCTGCATCTCTTGATGGAAGGCCAGGAAGGAGCCAGGTGGGTAACAGGGACCCTGTAATGTTGCTATAGAGTGGGCCAATTCTTGGGCCAGCAGTTGGTATGTCAGTGAGTTCATCCCATCTTGAGTCTAGAAATTCTGGGTATGGGCCAGGAGGTTTGCAGGGGTTTTCCTGATAGTCCTTATCTCCTGGGTGCTTGACCATTTGCATGCTCCACAGATGTGGGGATGAGAGACCTTCATCGCAGCCAGGCACACTGTGATCGCAATGTTGTCATCCTCCCTACCCCAGCCCCAGTGTTCATGAGTGAAGCTGTTCATCTTTGGTGCTTTGCAGGAGTGAGGGCCCAGACGCCCCCAAGGCCCTGGAGACACGGGAGGCTGTACCAAACTTGTTCATGGTGACAGCAGCATGCCAGTGCCCATGGGGTCAAACTCACAGAGATTGTGGTCATCCTCTGGCAGAAGGACCACAGTGTGCATGCGTGGGCAATCCTATCCTTTATCACGTGGGGCCTCCAGGAAAGTCCTGTTAAAGTTTCCATTTCTGGCCTGGTAGATGACACGGGTGCCATAAGCCAGCAGCTGCTGCCGCAGGCAGGGGTGTGGGTGGTAGAGTAGCAGGCAAAGGTGGTCTCCTGGTCACAGTGAGGCCAATGACGGGTGTATGGGAGCGGGGCTCACATTCTGTGGGGCAGCACCAACCCAGTTTCCACCTGGGGCTTTCTCTCTGTGACCTCCAGCAGGGATGGCACTGGGCTGAAGGACATAAACTCAAGACCCACAAGAGACGAGAACATTCTGAATAGCAGGGTGGGCCTTGAAGAGCCAGAAGGGTCCCAGGCAGGTGACTGAGGTGACCAGAGACATTGAGGGGTAAAAGTAGTCAAGTGTTGGTCCTGGTCTCAGCCAGTGAGGGCACCAAGGCTTCGAACCCCGGTGACAGGTTCATCACCATGGCCAGCTGGGAGCACGACGGTGTGCAGGGTTGTGCCAGTGGCCTCTGCAGCATTCTGGGGTGAAGTCTGTTTCCCTCCAGATCGTAGGGACTGCTGGAGGTTCTGGGAGGACAGGGATGTAAGGCATTATCTTTCCCGTTTTGTTTCCCGTTGTCACCGCCACCCTGACAACCAGACAGGGGTCATAGCCACCATCTTGGAAAGCGTACCACGGGGCTTCCCAGGTGATTCTGAAGCTCAGCCAAAGTGTGGTAAACACTGGTGTTCCCCAAGATCTCCTCAGTCAGTAAAATAATTATAAGTTTCATTTACTGAATGCCCACTTGGCGCAGGGTTTTATATAAGACTGCATTATTTCATTTCGTTCTCCAAAGAGAAGTGTGACAAAGATGAGAATATAACCTTTTTTTTTTTTTTAAGATTTATTTATTTGTACATAGAGAACTGGGGTACAGGCCAGAGGCTCAGGGGCGGCGAGAGGCTTCACCAGAGACAGAGTGGGGAGCAGAACAGGGAGATCGACGAAGTACACTGCTGAGGGGAGCAGCGGGAGGGTCAGGAGAGGTCTGCCACACCATGTGGTCACCTCCGGGGCAGGCGGGAATCGAACTCATGCGGAAGTGGCTTTAGCTTCTCAGTGCAGTGCTTTAACCCGCTGCGCCACCAGGGAGGGCCGAGGATATAAACTTTTAAGAGAGAGAATCACTGACTTGTGCTGTGTCACACAGAGGCAAGGCTGAGAGTCGGGTGAAGTACTTATTCCCTTCCAGCATAGAAGGGCCGTGGCATCTCCCAGACACTGCATAGAGTGGCAGCATCCTCTGTTACGAGGGGCCGTGAGGGGTCTGACAGCAGTGTCCTTGTGGGGAAGCTATCTAAGTTTCCTGGTAAAGCAGGGAATAACATGTAACCCCCTCTCTTCCACCTGAGCGGAATGTGGCACCCCCACAATAATAGGAAGGACAGGCCAGAAAGGGAAATCATCACAGTAGGAACGGCAGGCTGCTCAGTGGGGACCCCAGGGAGGAGGCAGCCCCTGGAGACAGCAGGCGGTTGGCACTTTCGGAGGGAATGGCTGGCTGAGGCAGCTCTCCTTCACGCAACCCACAGGACGACACTTAAATAAACCCTGAGCCAGTGCACCCTTGCAGACTGAGGGTCAAGGCGGAAGGGGGGAGCAGCCAGTATGGAGCTGGAGTGGGAGGTGGGTAGTGGGGGGAGGGGTTGAGGAGCAGTGGAGCTTGGATGGACGCTGTAGGACAATGTTGATCCCAGCCCGGATAGCAGAGAAACTGGGTTTTCATCAGTTCCTCAGTGAAGAGGAAATTGGAAATTAATATCAAAATCCCACTGAGTAGTGTCCATAGTTTCCATATGTAATCATGCTTGGCTTAGCGAGGTAGTAAAATGTTTATGATTTTCTTTCCAAGGTTGAGTTTAGTCATTCTCAATGAACCATTTAGTTGGCTTCATAAAGTCCTGAATTAAAAGAAGCCCTCTAGGTAATGTTATGTAGCTGGAGAGATACCTGGGTGAGGTGGACCCTCCTGGCTGTTGAAGTCAAGGTCTGGGGCCCAGAGCACAAGTCCCTAGAGGAAACCTCTTCTCGGACAGCTGCCTTGACAAGGCTTCGGCGCCACATGTTGTAGGAAGCACCGCCTCGGCAAAGAATGCACCCAGAGTCTGCTTTGAGGACCTCCCATGGAATTTGTGATTCATAAACAGAAATTCAAATAGTATGTCCCTGCCCCAACACGTGCTTTTAGTAAACTGAGGCATTGCTGCCCTGCCAGTTAACAATGGCTGGGGGGGGGGGGTGGTTGGGGGGGGAGGGTCTGTGCATTTGTGCTTCCTGCTCTGTCCTGAAAAGAGGAAAACGGGCAGCAGCCTCCTGTTGCCTGTTGCCATCTTCAGCTCGCTGCACTGGAAATGCAGGGACAGGTTTGAAGACTGAATCGAACCATCCCATCACCATGTGCTGGGAGTCAGTGGCCTTAAGGCAATGGGGTGGGCTGAGGGCCCAAAAGACCATGTCACCCATCTATACACATCTACACACACACACACCTTCATTCACAAAGGCTGGTACACACACTTGGATGTGTGCACACGTGTAGACTGTCTAACACGCATTCCTATACAGACATGAACACACTTGTACAAGACACAGCCTCACGTGCAACACACAGATGCCAGGCCCGCAGACACATCCATCGGCCGGCCGGCAGACAGTCCCTCCTCAGCTGACGCTCAGGACTGGAGAAGACAGCATCTGAGTGGCTGCCTGTGCATGGGCCTCCTGCCTTGGTCCCTCAGGCACCCCCTTGGTGGCCCTGCTGGGGGCTATACACTGGGACCCCTGGGACCCGGGCTTTCCTGCCTGATTGGGCTTCTCTCCACTCATCAGCAGCCTCTCTCACAGCATAGCCCCCCTTCTCTGGTGTCTCTCTCTCTCACACACACACACACTCTCAAATACATAGAACATTCCCTCCCTCCTCCCCCCACTGTCACACAGGGCTGCCCTGTCTCTAGCCTTTCCCAGTCACATTCATGCCATTTGCCTGTCAGCTTTCCCCCTCCCCATCCCAAGCTTTGGTTTTTGTCTCGTGCACAAATACACACAGCCCCATGCAGACACTCTATCTGTCTGTCTGTCTCCTGCACGACACGCACAACACGGAACAACTTGAGCCATAGCAAGTGGGAGAGAGTGTCAGGCCTGATGGAAGCTGTTATTCTTAGCCCTGTCACTGAACACTTCCACCCCCTCCCCAGCCCTGTCCCTGCCCTGCCGGTCACCCTCCCCTAGAGACAGAGCCAGCAAACCTGAGGCCAGTCTAATCTCCCATCTGTGGAGAGGGAGGGGAGGCAGTAGGGGATTGCATCGGAGCACTGAAAAGGAGCAGAAAATGGGATTTATTTTTGCTGCCCCCCCCAACACCCGACTCTGCCTCCAGCTGCTCAGAGAGCAGTTGTGTGGGGACCGGGT